GTCAAGGGAAGGGAGGGATAAATAGGTGGAACACAGAAGAATTTTAGAGTAGTGAAAATACTCTATACAATACTATAATGGTGGAATACATAATTATACATTTGTCCAAATTAATAAAATGTGTAACACCAAGAGTGAACTCTAATGTGAAGTACAGACTCTGGGTGATAATGATGTGTCAATGTAGAGTCATCAATTGTATTTTGTGGGGGATGTCAATAACGTAAGAGTGTGTGGGTGTGTGAAAGTAGGAAATATATATCTTCTATTTTCCTCTCAATTTGGCTGTAAACCTAAAACTCTTCTAAAAAATGACCTGGTTTTTTTTTTTTAAAGTACTTCTGAAAACAATTTTATAAAGGATAAATTCACTCCCCTTCCTGTAGGAATAGTCAGTTAAAAGCCTCCTCCGTTGCTCCAGTAGACATATGATAAATAACTTCGATATAACTCCGCCTTGGATCATTTTATTGGAAAGTTACTTCAATGCCGAGGTGACTGAAATGGTTAGAATGACTTGCAGATTTGGGAGTAAGTATTTAATCACATACAGGCTAAAAACACAGTGTAAAGCAGACAGTCAAATGTTAGCTCCTACTGGCAAGTTTCCTTCATGAGGACGACAAAAGGGAAATCAAGTTGAACAGATAACATACATAGTTCTAAAGCCTGACACTAATCCAGATCATTAGAAAAGTAAGTGAAAAAGTGGAATGTAATCTTTTACAACAGAGATAGAATCTGGGAGAAGGAAAAGGTGAGGTCACAGCATGAAGTCAGAAAGCCAACCCAGGACAAGTTAGTTCCTGCCAGAACCTCTTTCCAGACAGACACATGGATGGCTCCTCATGTCTTTTAGGTCTCTACTCAATGTCAGCCCACCAACAAGGCTCTTTACCACCCAGTGTAAAATAATAAATATTGTCCTGACTCAATTCACCTCTGGCAACTTCCAAACTCTTTATTGATGTTCTAAACAGTATATATATATTTTAGAGGTCCAGTGCATGAAATTCATGCATGGGGGCGGGGGGTTCCCTCAGTCCAGCCTGCCCCCTTCCCAATCGGGACGTAACAGGGATCAGGCCTAAACCAGCAGTCGAACATCCCTCTCAAATCTGGGACCACTGGCTCCTAACTACTCACCTGCCTGCCTGCCTGATCACCCCTAACTGCCTCTGCCTGCCTGCCTGATTGTCCCTAACTGCTCCCCTGCAGGCCTAATTGCCCCCAAATGCTCTCCCTGCCCGCCTGATCGCCCCTAACTGCTCTCCCCTGCCAGCCTGATCACCTCTAACTGCTCTCCCCTGCCGGCTTAACCTTGCCCATAACTGCCCTCACCTGCCAGCCTGGTTGCTCCCAATTGCCCTCCCCTGCCAGCCTGATTGCCCCTAACCCCTCAGCAGCTGTGGATCAGGCCCAGCCTTTCTCTCCAGGCCTATCTCTGGGCCTGATCCGCAGCCTCCACTGCTGCTGCAGATCAGGACCTGTCTCTCTCCCTCTTTGGGCCTCAACAGCAGCCGTGGAGGCTGCTGATCAGGCACTGATTCCTTCTCCGGGCCTCTCTCTGGTCCTGATCCGCAGCAGTCGCCGCGCCTGCCTTGCCCACCCACGCCCTGCCACCCCGCCTGCCCACCTGCCTCCAGCCTTGCTGTGATAGGAGCCTGTGGGCTGTGGGGGAGGGACTAAGAGGTGCTCCAGGGACTTCCTGGTGACCAGTTGTCCGTCTGGTAATTTAGGTCATGGCGGTCCTAGGCTATTATTAGTATAGATGGCTGAAACTGGTTTGCCTCAGTGAATAGAGCGTCGGCCTGCGGACTGAAAGGTCCCGGGTTTGATTCCAGTCAAGGACATGTACCTAGGTTACGGGCACATCCTCAGTAGGAGATGTGCAGGAGGCAGCTGATCGATGTTTCTGACTCTCTATCTCTCTCCTTTCCTCTCTGTAAAAAATCAGTAAAAAATATATATATAATAAATAAATAAATAAATAAAATATTAGTATAGATGTATTTCATTAATTTCAGAGAGGAAGGGAGAGGGAGAGATAGAAACATCAATGATGAGAGAGAATCATTGATTGGCTGACTCCTGTACGCTCCCCACTGGGAATGGAGCCCGCAACCTGGGCAGGTGCCCTTGACTGGAATTGAACCCGGGATCCTTTAGTTTACAGGTCGACGCTCTATCTATTGAGCCAAACCATAAGACACACTAAGTCAACTGTTGTTTAACTGTCTTCACCATGACAACACAGCATCAAAGAGGCATGCATTTTATACCTTATACACTGAACACACATTAACTTTTACACTGAACACATTTCCTAGAGCACATAACTACTGCACAGAATCATGCCTAGAGTATAGTAAGTACTCAGAAAATGAATGTTGAATCAATAATGAAACCCACCAAAAAGTTTCACTTTTGGTCAAATTAAAAGACACAAGGGTGCATACACCAAGCATGATGCTAATGAGAAAATCAAAGGTGGCAAAATTCCTTGAAGTGAAAAGAAAGCAAGAGAACCTATCCCTACTTCCTTCTGAAGCTTTTAGACTATCTCTTTGAAATCAGAGTTTGGGAAAACTTTGGTTTGTCAGCGCACGTCATAGCAAGCTATCGAACTCCTGAGGAGACACTTTGCACTTTAGCCTTTTATATATACAGATGTGACTTGGCTCAGCCTGTGTGGCTCAGTAGTTGAGTGTCAACCTATGCACCAGGAGGTCATGGTTTGATTCCCTGTCAGGGCACATGCCCAGTGTGGGATGTGCATAAAGCACTGATCAATGATTCTCTCACCAGGGGGTGGTGCAGAATGAAGGAAGGGCCCTGCTGGCCATGCCTAGGGACCCTACCGGTGCACAAATTTCGTGCACCAGGCCTCTAGTATTTTAAATGAACACACTAAAGGTATAATTTATTAGAAATTTAAGATTCCTACTGCATACTCAATTAGTCAAATAAGTGTTTTTCAAACATTTTTTTAAAAAAATGACCTATTTTAAGAAATGCCAGAATCTCATGACCCAGAGAAATATGCAGGAAATGTATTTATAAAACCCACTTGCTAACCAATGCCTATTTTTTTTAAAGCTCTTCCCATGGTTTTTAGATCACTCATGCAACTGGCCAGTGTTTTTGCTGCAAAGTATTCTGTTCTTCCTAACAAACTGATATTTCTCCCTTATTTTATTGCATTAAAAAGTTTTGGTACAAAAGTCGGGTCCACAAAAGTCTGTAAGCAACTGTTTTAAGATCCGCAGTGCCCTGAATGCCTGAGGACACAAGCCAATCCTGGGAGCTGATACCGAGTACATAGGGCACCTGTCCTCACCCACTGAGACCAGGTTCCAGAAGTTCTCCAGCATCACGTCTTGGTACAGCTTCCTCTGGCCAGTGTCCAGCAGCCCCAGCTCCGCCTCGGTGAAGACCACAGCCACGTCCTTGAAGGTCAGTTCCTCCTACAACACCAAACACATGTAATCTCAATCTTCTAATCAGTGGCCTCTTGAAAAGTGACAGCACTGAGAAGGTAGAGAAGATGGGCAGGAAATGGTTTCAGATTTTGAGCAACTTAAGTCAATGTGTAGACATTCCAGCCCTTTTCCTCCACCTCCAAACACTGATTCTCCTCAGCCTCAGCAGAAGTACGGCAGTGACCACAGTCCTCATATTTTTATTTTGTGCCCTCATTGGGTCTATTTACAAGTAACCTCCAAGAACCCTAAACATGCCCTGACCGGTTTGGCTCAGTGGATAAATCGTCAGCCTACGGGCTGAAGGGTCCTGGGATGGATTCCGGTCAAGGGCCCCAGTAGGGGGTGTGCAGGAGGCAGCTAATCAATGATTCTCTCTCATCATTGATGTTTCTTTTTTTTAAAATATATTTTATTGATATTTTACTGAGAGGAAGGGAGAGAGATAGAGAGCCAGAAACATCGATGAGAGAGAAACCTCGATCAGCTGCCTCCTGCACATCTCCCACTGTAAGAACTCTAATGAACAGAATAAACTGGCGAATAAAATAGAATCAGAGGCATGGAAATGGAACAGACTGACAATTCTCAGAGGGAATGGGGGTAGGGGGGTTGGGAAGAGATTAAACAAAGATCTTGTATGCATATATGCATTACCTATGGACACAGACAATAGAGTGGGGAGGGCCTGGGGCGGGGCGGGAACTGGGTGGAGGGGGACAATGGGGGGAAAAAGAGGGACATCTGTAGTAATCTCAACAATAAAGATTTAAAAATAAATAGATAACAAGAAAAAAGAAAAAAAGAAGTAGCTTTCAGCTATCGTGGGAATGTGGGGTAGGTAAAAATAAAAAATTAAAAAGTATATCAATTCAAGGGGAATGCAACATAACCCTAAAAAAGAAACATTATATAACACTAGAGGGAAGAAAATCACAATTTAAAATTAAATCTATATCATGAATAGAAACACAGCTATGAATGCACATGAGAAAGAGTATACTAGAAAATGAAAACAGCTGATCTGTTAGCAGGGAAACAGTAAAGTGGGAGAAGTGTTCATTTCTGGTAATTTTTCTGCTCTACAAAATAAATAATAAACAAAACTGAAAACAAATGCAAAGTAAACTCAACACCCTGGAGCACAACAAGTCCTCAAATACCCGTTCTTCTGCTTGAGTTGTCCCAAGAGAACCGTGACACGTCGGTAATGAGGTGGAATTTTATTTTTAAATTTATTTCTTTTAATCCTCACCTGAGGATATTTTCCCATTGATTTTTAGAGAGTGGAACAGAGAGGGAAAGACAGAGAGAAATATTGATATGAGAGAAAAACATCGATTGGTTGCCTCCTGCATGCGCCCCGACCGGGGAGGAGCCTGCAACCCAGGTACATGCTCTTGACTGGAATCAAACCCGGGACCCTTGGGTCCGCAGGCCGATGCTCTATCCACTGGGCCAAACTGGCTAGGGCATGAGGTGGAATTTTATAAGAGAGAAAGGCATGTCCTACTCACCTTAAATGTGGTCATTTTTCCTCCTACTTCTGGAGGTATAGAGTCCTGAGGAATACAGATCCCAGGAAGGCAGAACTGTGCCTGGCAGTGCCTGCAAAAAAACCATGAAAGGGTCGCCTGCATGCTGCTCACCTACATGGATGATTGTTATGAATTAGCATGTGAATATTTATAGCAGCCTTACTCATAATAACCTAAAACTGGGAACAACTGAAACAGCAACTATATGTGAATAAAATTGTGGCATATTTGTACAACGGAACATTATTCCCCAATTAAAAGAAATGAAGTACTGAGTACGGTAGAACGTGGATAAACCTTGTAAACATTACGGATAGAGAAAGAAACCTCAGTCACAAAAGACTGCATATTGTATGATCCCATTCATAGGCGATGTCCAGAGTAAGCAGATCTATGGAGACAAAGTAAGTTAGTGGTTGCTTAGGTATCTGGGAAGAGAATGAAGGTTAGTTACAACTGGGCAGGAAGAATCGAATCAGGGAAACAAAAATGTGCTCCACTAAGCAAAGTTGCACCCAAAATGGGTGAATTCTATGATATGCATAATATACCACAAGTTGGTAAAAATAAGTGTTTGTTAATCTACGTGTCACTTAAATTAGTAAAACTAATTTATGGATTCTGAGTCCATACTGATATAATACTTATATTTGAATAAATGAATAAATAAGTGGGGAGAAGGAGAAACTTGTCTTTACAATAGAATGTCCACTAATAAATGTATTTCCCCCATACGCTATATTATTGTTGAGAAAAAAACAAACACGCCAGTAACTTTACAATGGACAAATCTGATAGATATCACCTTAGCTTAGTGTACAAGTTGCGTTCACCAACACAGGGACAAACCAGCATCCTTTGGCTCCACCTCACCACTTCTGTGGAATCCCTGCTGCAATGCAAGATCTGAACCTAAACATGGACTATACCAAATAAACCCCAAATGAAGGGCTGTCTCCTATATAACTTGACTCTATTCTCTTAAAAAGCATCAAGAAAAAAAAAAGACAAAGGCTGTGGAATTGTTCCCATTAAAGAACATTAAAAGAAGTATTATAAAAATGTTGTAAGATGTTTATAAACAAATGTACAACTTAAGGCAATGCATAAAACTGGAATTTGAAACTTGGGGGAAAACCAATTACATACACTGCCAGTCTGTGTTGCCTTTCCATGAGTCCAAAAATATTACATTATGAGAATTTTAAATGAAAACCAGAACAATATAAATACAGGATTATAGAACAGTATGTTAGCTAAGGTTTCTTAGCAATAGCTAACAGGCAACACTATTAACCACCATTAGTAATAACTTAGGAAGTTATATGGAAGTTCATTAGTTCATTCTTTCTTGGCAGTGTTTGGAAATTATCATTGTAAAAACACATGAGGGGGAAAACATTAAGAAAGGTATAAAATTTTGTAAAATATTTATAATATACAAATATACACAAAAACACTAAAAAATGCATTAGACACTTAAATACTTGCTATATTTATATCCTGAATGAATGGGTAATTTAAAATATTTTTTCCTCTCTCATATTTCTGTAATCTTTGAATGGTGCATATTGTAATTTCTGAATGTTTTATAAGAACAAGAAACAAAATAGTTGACAATGTTTTAAAAACTCACAGAAAAGTCCAAGCCCATTGCCCTTGTTTTTAAGGTCTCTCAACATCAAGTACTAACTAACTACCTGGTCCGATTCCAGCTAGTTCCTATGGCTCAGGAGAATATATCCAAGAGATTATAGCTCTGAACGTGGACTTCCTAAATTCCAACCCCAGCTCAGCCTCTTATTAGGTGGGTGACTATGGGGGGAAACTTAGGCTCCTTGGGACTGATCTCATTTTTATAGACTAGGAAAAGGGCAGTACTTTTCACAGAGCCACGATGTGGCATCATGTATTTATTCTTATAAAACCCTTATCACACCAAAGTTGGCAGTTAAGGATTCATTATCATCAATACCCATGCCCGAGTTCACATCCTACACTTTTTCCGTTTTATGTGAACATCATTGTAAAATGGAAACCTCAAGTCCCACTCACGTGGAGCTTTGCTGTCAGCAGCCAAGCAGTCACCCCCTCTCGCTCGGTGCGGTCCTTTTTGAGAAGTCAGGCCGGGGGAAGAAGAATACTATGAATGCCACGATCGTGCCGAAGTCCTGGAGGAAGTCAAAGCCTCTTCTCCCTCCGCGCAATCTGGAAGCAACCTTTACATTCCTTTAAAAAAAAAAAAAAAAAGAGGTCTGCAGGGGTCCGTCCGGTATTCCAACAGCGTCACTCAGCGATGAGAGAAGAGGCTGGGGATCTGACCCTAAACCGGAGGAAATTAAAACTAAGGAGAGATCACCATTCACAACGTGCCAAGAACTAAATTAACACTTCTATTTCTACCCCTTCCTTCAATTCCCAAAACAATTCTGTTAGAAAGGTCCCGTTATCCTTCCTCACTTTAAAGAACAGTCCCGGGCGGTCCGGGGAGATGGAGGCCCGATGCCAGGAGGCAGCCCGCGCACGGATGGGGGGCGGGGTGGGGGGCAGCCCGGGAACTCACACCAGGAGACAAAGGCGACTCCAGCCCGTCCCACTCCCGACGCTAGAAGCGCCCCAGACGCAGAGCTCGGAGGCGCCGCCGACCCCGCACTTCCATACCGCACCCTCCGCAGAGGCTTCTTTTCCCCTAAATCGACCGCTGAGTCACGGCGGGTCTTACGCACAGATCCAGAAAGTTCGCAACCACCCCACGGAAAATACAGTAAAAACCTTACACTCCCAGAACCGAAGTGCCTGCGACCTCACGAGACTTCGGGACTAAATTTCCCAGAATTCACCAGACCCGCCTTCCTGAGCGGACGTGCACGCGACGGCACAGGACGCCTGGACTACACTTCCCAGAATTCCGAAGGAAAACGTTTACGTACAGGCTCACGCTGTAGGAAAAAGTGTTGACTACAGGAAACTCCTTGACTACACTTCCCAAAATGCCAGAGCGGAGAGACTCCCAGAATCCCAACTTCCTGGTTAGTTACGTGGACTCTTTCACTGAGAATCTGTGGACGTTCCCTAAATCTTCCAGAAAAAATATCACATAGTCACAGGACTTCCTGAAGTCGCAATGAGTCCACTTATGACAGGAATAGTGTAGAGACACAATCTTCAAGAAATCAAGGGAGTTTGGGAGCGCAGCCACTCGGTTGAAAGGAGCGACTTCCTGTGCGCGAGACCCAGCAGCCGGCGTCTGAGGAGGCTCGTGACCCAGCGCCCCTGTTGCCATGACAACCCTGAGCTTTGCGGACCTGCACTGGGGCAGCGAGGACGAGGTGCCACTAGGCTCGGAGCAGAGAACCACCAAAGACGGCTGGGTTTATGATGTCGGTCACACTGAGAAGACTCAATGGGAACATCCGAAAAACGGAAAAAGAAAACAAATAGCAGATTTGTCTTATAGATGGGAACAAGAAACCCATGAGGAAGGACACCGTATTTGGTCAACCATATACTAGTAAATAAAATAACTGTTTGGACCCAAGACTGGCACTTACTATGGATGATAATCCTACAAAGCCAATCACCAGACAGAATACGATGGTAGCACCCAGGGGGGATTTCACCGACAAAGTGGTTGTAGTTCCTGGAGCTAATTCAGGAATAGGGTGTGAAATCGCCACATCTTTTGCCCTTCAAGGTGCTCACGTGATCTTGGCCTGTAGGACTAGGACAGGAGCCAGTGAAGCCATGTCTTGAATTTTGGGAGAACGGCATAAAGCCGCAGTACCCGCGGTCACCCTGGACCTACCTGCTTGGTAGTGTGCACAGGTGTTCAAGGCCAACCATGTGCTTCTGCATGTGCTTGTGTGCAACGCAGTGGCTCTTGCTCTGCCCTGGAGCCTCACAACAGATGGCGTGGAGACCAGCTTCCAGGCGAATCGCCGGGGGCACTTCAGGATGTCCAGCTCCTTCAGGATGTCTTGTGCGGCTCAGCCCCAGCCTGGCAGTGTGGCCTCCTCAGAGTCCCATAGATTTCCAGATATTGTTTCCTTGGGACAACTAGACTTCAGCCACCTCTCCCCACCTACAAATGACTGCTGGACCGCGCTGGCTTACAACTGGTCCAAACTGCCACATTCTATTCTCCAATGAGCTCAGTCACTGTCTCTCCCTGCGTGGGGTCACATGGAAGGCAGTACATCCAGGAAACAGGATGTACTCCTCCCTTCGCAGCTGGTGGGTTCACACGGTGCTGTTTACCTCGGCCAGGCCTTTCACCAAGTCCATACAAGGAGCTGCCACCACCCTCTGTGGTGCTGCTGTTCCTGAATTCAGGGTCTGGGAGGCATGTATTTCGACAACTGTTGCCGCTGCCTGCCCTCCAGAAGCTCGGAGTGAAAAGACAGTACTGGGCCCTGGGGGCACTCAGTGAGACAACTGATCCAAAAAAGACTCAGCAGCCAGTCCAGCTAAGTGGGAGCTCTGGCAAGGAAGGGCACACCCACCCACCCTGTGCATGCAGGGGCATCACTGCCAACACTGGACCCTTCCAACTTACCCAGGGGCCTTTCCATGTCCCTCCAGCACAGACCTGCCAGAGCAAAGGGAATAAGGAGTAGTGATAGCAGATGGGAAAATGTTAAAGACCAATGGGAACCAGGAAATTCCAGCAGGAAAGGCAGTATCTCTCTTCTGGGGCTGGCTTAGGCTTTAGTCATTTTGCTTTATTGGTGGTGACCTGTTTGAAAGTGAATACTCAAGTTGGTATGTGGGTTCCTTGTTTCATTGGAGGACAAGCAATTCTCTGTTTAGAATAGTCTGGTGCCCCCTGTGTCACTCAGCCACCACCACAGCCACAGCCCACCATGGCCACACCTCAGCCAGGAGCTTTCTCCTGTTCAGGTAAGAAAAAGCCAGTGTTTATCCTTCTTTGCTGCACTGATCCAGAAGATAATTGTTTCATTCATCCAGACCAGGTCTAAGTGGGCTTGGCAGCTACTGGAGAGAGAACTCTGAACCTTGTTCCAGCCAGCCACCATGGAGTGACACTGAGACATGGGTGCAATAGACAGAGCTACTGGGTCACAAAAGTATTGGTCTTTTTTTAAAAATATATTTTATTGATTTTTTACAGAGAGGAAGGGAGAAGGATAGAGAGTCAGAAACATCAATGAGATAAACATCGATCCGCTGCCTCCTGCACGCCCCCTACTGGGGATGTGCCCGCAACCAAGGTACATGCCCTTAACCAGAATCGAACCCAGGACCCTTCAGTCCGCAAGAGGACGTTCTATCCACTGAGCCAAATCGGTTAGGGCAAAAGTACTGGTCTTTGACTCCCTTGCCTAACGATGCCAAAAATTCCTTAGAGATTATAACAAACTTTGCCAAGGATTTCCTCAATTCCTTGACAGCCAGGAAAAGGAGGATTGTGTCCCTAAGAATTTACAGTGTAAATTTCAGGAATAAAAAGTCACTCCCCTTATTCTTCATTCAGGCATGTGCCCTGACCAGGAATCAAACCATGACCTCCTGGATCATAGGTCAATGCTTAACCACTGAGCAATGCCAGCCGGGCAATAAAAATATATTAAAAAAAAAAAGTACTGAATGGCCGATGTGGTTCAGTTGGTTGGGTGTTGTCTCATGCACCAAAAAGTTGCTGGTTCGATTCCCGGTCAGGGCACATGCCAGGGTTGTGGGCTTGATACCTAGAGGGTCTGCAGGAGGCCACTGATAGATGTACTGTTCACACATTGATCTTTCTCTCTCTCTCTCCCTCTTTAAAAAAAATCAATTAAAAAAAGTACAGAATTGCATCTCACTATTATGCTATGTTCCCTACCCATGCACATCTTTTCTTCAAAGAATTATTTTTAACCTCCCCAACATGTGTATCCCTACTTTACATCTATCTCCAGTACTTGCCTGCTCCCTGGCTTATGCCTAAAGATGTGTCACATGCATTAACTTATTTGTGTATTCAAATAACCAAAATAATTTTTTGAATGCTGATGGAGTCCTATTCTTAAATTTGATCTTATATGATAACATAGAACAATCTTAATAGGAATCCATACTGTAAAGAATTCATATTAATCATTTTTCAAATTCCATTATACATAATTTACCAGTTTGATCAAATTGATGTTCACTGAGAAATTAAAACACATAATGGGACTAAAAAAATGGAAATACTACCAAATAGTCGTGCCAGAGAAGATCATTACTACCAGTATCACTTCCACAATTTCTATACACACATACACAGATTTATGAACTTAATTCTATTATGAAGGCCACAGTCTGAGTTCACAAAACCCATAGTATGTTCTTCTTCTGTTATTACATGTCCTTGCCATCACTTTAACGACTCCAAGTTATTTTGGAAATATATAACTTAAACAAATTTCTACTGATGAACACAAATCCATTCTAAAAATTGTGTGGCATTACTGATGTGGTATTAAAAAATTATTTGAATCTCATAATCTTAAATTCTTAAACTATGACTTCTAAATTACACATTGTTATATCTGTTTTCCAAAGATGTGTGTTTACCAAACCAGAAAAGCATGTAAATGGCATTCCAGTGCCAGTAATGAATACATTTGATGAAATTACCAAATCCTAACAAGTTTTTCTGGTATTTCTTTCATGGGGATAAGGGAAGAATATAGGAAGTTGAGAAACTAAATGTCTTTCAAATTTGGCATAGCCCCAACCAGTCCACAGGCTGACGCTCTATCCACTGAGCCAAACCAGTCAGGGCTAAATCTGACCCTTTTAATGGGTTACTTTGAACCCGTGCCTTAACACTGTTGAAAATGTCAATTGTGATGTGTGCAGTAGCCAGTTATTGCAAAGTTAAAACTGTTTGCACTGTGAGAAAAACCAAAAGATGAATTTATATTATATATCCTAACGGAACATCAGGCAGAAACCCAAATAATAAGAACCCAACCTCAGAACAGAGCCAGAGGGTAGGCCAGGAGCCAACTGCCAGGATACTATCAAAATAATGCTGTGGCGTGCAGGACCCAGTGTACTTCTGTATTTCAACTCATGTTTGTTTCCCTGAATTATTTTTTGCAGGTTTCCTCTTCCAGATACAATTTAAAAATATTATATATATTTTCTTCCTTTGACTGATTTAACAAACGAGTACTGAATACATATACTAAGTGCTAATCACGCTCCCTGCCCTCATGCCCTCACCGCAACACTTGTGTAGTCTCGGAATCACTGGGATATGTTGCGCCATGGCCGAGACATTCACTTTAATGAAACAAAGGTTTTCCTTCCTCTGAGAATGGATGAAATTTATCACCGACATGGCTTCTGCAATGAAGTCTAAAGTATGACCTTGACTTGAAGCGCTTACTGCATACCTCGCACTTGTAAGGCTTCTCCTTTGTGTGAACTTTCTGATGAGACTGTAGATGTGAAAACTGAGTGAAAAGTTTACCACACGCATCACATTTGAACGGCTTCTCTCCAGTGTGGACTCTCTGATGAAGCTTAAGGTGTGAGGCCCTACTTAAGTGCTTGCCGCACACCCAGCATGTGTATGGCTTCTCTCCTGTGTGGATGCTCCGATGCACCTCCAGATCCAAGCTGGTCATGTAGCCCTTCCCACACTCCTCACACTTGAATGGCTTTTCTCTTGTGTGGACCTTTAGGTGAGCTTGTAGGTAGGCTTTCCGACCAAAGCTCTTCCCACAGTCCTCACACGTGAACGGCTTTTCCCCGCTGTGGACTTGCTGATGGGCCAGGAGAAGGGAGGCCCACCTGTAGCTCTTCCCACACTCCGCACAGTTATAGGGTTTCTCTTCGTTGTGGAACCTCTGATGCCGATAGAGTTC